CATTTTTTCCTGCTCTTAGCATTGAATAATGGGTTCAAAATAAGGGTGCATCAAAATTTACTTTTTATACTGACCTCATACAAATGTGTTTCACTGATTAATTAGGAAGAACACATCTATAAGTGATTTTCCTCCATGAGGTGCTAATTTCATTTGCAGAATGATAATCTCAGGTAAACAGAACCAGAAGACATTATGCGTAGAGAAAATGGTACTAAGTATACCTGTTGGCTTCGGTTTCCCCATCTGTAAAATAAACTATGGATTTATTGTGAGAGTTGAAAGATATAATCAAGAGGAGATAAATATTTTCTATAAACAGTAGTTAAGTGAAAACAAATACCCCAGATTCAACATGGTGCAGTTAAAAAAATGTTTCTCTTCATTCCCTCCCTACCCCAATACTTCTCAGCTAGAAGACTCACTGAGCTTCTTGATTTGACTGCATACCAATGCTAAATTCCTGAAATTGGAAAGACTGTTCTCTGTGAGACAACCTATTGCTCAATGCTGGACATGAGAAAGGACAGGGCAGGAACCCAGTTTTAAAACAGAAAAGGGGCCCTAACTGGTTTAGCTCATTGGATAGAGCATTGGCCTGCAGACAGAAGGGTCCCAGGTTCCATTCCTGTCAAGGGCATGTACCTTGGTTATGGCACATCCCCAGTAGCGGGTGTGCAAGAGGTAGCTGATCAATGTTTCTCTCTCATCAATGTTTCTAACTCTCTGTCCCTCCCCCTTCTTCTCTGTAAAAAATCAATAAGATATATTAAAAAAAAAACAGAAAAGGAATTTCAGCTTATTATGAACAAATGGATGACTGCAACCACATTTTGATGCTTTCTATTAGTGGGAATACATTTATTCTGCTTGTTTTGTTTAAGGAAAGTGCCAGAAGAGCCATGAGATTTTCACAAATCTATAGACTCATAAAAAAATTAAATAACATGCTGCTATTTGGAGTGCCTCTAAGCAGTTAAAGATGTCAAATATTTTATTTAGCATTGCACTTTGCCAGAAACAATCATCAGGTGATAGCTTTATGCATATCAACCAGTTCTCTGATTTCTTTAGGAAGCAAGAGATTAAGTCAGTTCAGTCCCACTTTATTTGCTACCCCAACCGTAAATAATAAACTAAATCCCCTTAAAATTTTACAGCAATGATTTGCATACTTTCCTTCAGGTGGTAATTTTTTATAAGCATAAAGTTAATTTTTTTTGCCACTCATTTAATTTCTCATTAAAATTTCTTTAAGGTTGTCATGAAATCAACTTTTGCAACATCTATGCAAAAAGAACAGAAAGTGTATAAAATACAAATGTACTATAAGAAATATGTAAAAATTATTTTTCTGTTTCACAAAATGTTTTAACAATAGCTACTATTGTTTATTAATTACTACAATTTATTAAGTATCACATTCCAGGCACTAGGGAAGAGGCCTTTAACAGGTGCCCTCTACTTCTTAAGATGAACCGTAACTATAGTACTATTTATGCTCAGAGCCCCTCAGCTAATAAGGGGATGAATTTTCCTGTGGATGAAAAGGGGCCACATACTCCCGACAAGCTCAGGGGAGGCCCGCATGGCAAGCCTTACAAATTCAGAGCCTGAAGTAACCAGAGGATGGTCTGAAATTAAAACTTCCTAACTAAAAGCCAGACCTGCTGGGTAGTCATGTCCTAGCCATACCTATTTGACAAAGGTCAATCTTTGTCAATAGTTGGAGCCGGTCTGTTGTCTTTTTGCATCTATGATAACATACCTTTGGAATGTCATAGAGCTCCCCTTATTCCAGACCCCTCAGGTCACCGTCTCCCACCAGAGCACAGACCACAGAACCCCTCACTGCTATCTTGTTCCCCCATACCATCTCTGTGTGCTATAAATGTTAACTATCCTGTACTCACCGATGTAAAAGTATGTGTCTATCATTTTACTTTTTATCCAATCTCAGAGATTTCCTGCTTTGCTTTCTCCCACCCCCCAATCCACCACCAATGGATTTCATGTAATCCTTACATCTTCTCCTTTGACTCTGATGTATAAAATAAGGTGTCCAATTGCCATTCTCTGGAGTATTTTCTCAATCCCTTGAGATTTTTCTTTCAGGCAATTGTCAGTTTGGCTCAAATAAACTCATAAAAATTATCTCCAGGTTTAGACATTTCTTCCTTCCTGGACAACCCCCCCCCCCCCCCAGCCCTGGGACTCTTATCATGTCACTTTTGTTAAAAACTTACTTTTAGCTACCGAACATATTTTACATTTCTGGAATACAGCTGTTATTTTTTTAAATCCATATGACACATTGTCCCTTCCTGCAGTTCTGCAGAATTCTATGTGTCAGAAGCGGTTAACAGAATTGGGGAAACATTGAGGAAGTGTTTCTGGTCCACATGTAATTGAGTGCAGTGAATTTACTGGGTCAGATTTAGTTGAACCCCTCTGATGTTGGTCTAGCAATTAAATCTACATAAGACAGACTAACAAGGGAAAGAATTTCATTTAATTACATGCATAATATGGGAACCTCACATATATAAGAGAGTCAGAGACCCCAGACAGAAAGGGAAAATGAGGTATATACATCAGGCATTCGGAGCTAAGGATGCAGTAAGGCACTTCGGGGCTTCAGAGAGAAGGAAGGTTGTTTGCAGGGTGATAAGAAGAGCAGATGCTCAGAAATCAGAAGTTTGCCCTCCCCTGTGGATAGCCATAAAAAGTTTTTCTGGTGATAACTCTTATTTTGGACAAGGTCCCCAGTTTCAATTCTTTAAGGGAGAGGAAATTTTTTTCTCATGATTTCAAAGGATCTGCATTGCCTTCAGCTCAAAGTAATTCACCTACCAAAGTGTAACATGCTGGAGAGGTGTGTTCTGAATCCTTTCACATAACTACTGTTGAACCCAGGTTTTCCAGCACATAGTAGACACTCACATACCTAATGAATTCGGTATCCAGTTAATTGTTTTCTTCTAAAAAGCCTCAATTAGTTAAATGAACTTAAATACCAATTTCAAAATAGTAGATCTAGTGAAGGGTTTGCGGCTCCAAAATGTTAGCCTCGGGGAGGGAGGAGGGAGGGTCAGAACAAGGGTAACTTCTTTTTTATTTTTAGTATTTTTTAATTTTTTTTTTTTTTTTTTTTTTTACAGAGAGGAAGGGAGAGCAATAGAGAGTTAGAAACATCGATGAAAGAGCAAGGAATAGAGAGTTAGAAACATTATCAGCTGCCTCCTGCACACTCCCTACTGGGGATGTGCCCACAACCAAAGTACATGCCCTTGACCAGAATCGAAGCTGGGACCCTTCAGTCCGCAGGCCGATGCTCTATCCAGTGAGCCAAACCAGTTAGGGCGAGGGTAACTTCTTGTTCCTCTGAGATGGGCACTACTTAAATCAACCTTGCTCCAGACCTAGGTGCTCCCCCCAAACCTGAATAGCTGTGTCCCTAAGACGACCACTGAAGTAAGGAACAAGTCCCACCGCCACCTTAGCACACGCGGGGAATCGCATTAAACTTAAAAGGAGCGTGTTTACTAGCAAACAAAGGGCGGAGGGTCTCAGGTCCCAGGACCAGCTGGGGCCGCCTGGGAATAGCAAGAGCTGAGAGCCGCAGGGACAAATGGACATTGCACACTCTAGCAGATACACACCCTTCTGCGGCTACCTGGGGCTGCGCCCGCCAGCTCCAGCTACCTGGCCCACAGCTGGTTCTCCACCACCCCGAGAACTTTTCTGTCCCTCTGGACCCAGAGTTGGACAGGTGGGGGCCTCTGAGGATTTTTTTCCACTGGACTCGGCAGGAGGCCCTTCCCAATTGGAAGGTGAAGGCTCTTAAGTCCCTCGGAGACGCTCACAAGACAGAGGGCCAGCGGGCAGCGCAGAGCTTGCGGAGCAAGAACAAAGGGAAGCCGCGGCTCTGGGAGGATGCTGCGCTCCTCTGTGCCCCACCCGGTCGGCTCGCGGGCGCTGTCTCGTGCGCAGGTAGCCCGGCTTTGGGGGCTGCGGGTGAGTGTGTTGAGCAAGGTACACAAAGCCTCACTTCCGTGGGGCCAGGCGCCCGGACTCGCCTCCACGCCACCCAAGGTCCGTCACATTCCTGCATCCCTGCCGCCTTCTGGGACCCGAGTGCACGCTGGATGCCAGGCGCGGTGCCAGGCGGAGCCCCTACAGGTAACCTTTGGGGAAACCGGGGCTGAGGGAGGCGGCGGCTGGCTGGGGAGAGGCATGCCTTTTTAGGCAGCCGCGCAGCCCCCCGCAGCCCAAGTCTGCCATCACTCTGCCAGAGGAGAGCT